GGTAGTCAGTTATATGTGTATTTTGTCATCTTTCACTACATTCTAGCTCTAGTGTTGCACTGATGTTGATACTGTAACGGTATCAGCGCTGATACAGGCACCTAAACACAGTATTGTTATTGGCAGTACAGAATACCAATACCATGAAGCTGAGAACCCACTGCTCAGTAGAGATGGGTACTAAGAACTGGTATTAAATTGGTACTGCTTCCTGACTGGTCAGTACTGAAATATTGATAAGCTCCTGGACAAACGGTGCTGCTGTTGGTATTTATGTAACATTAGTTCATTCTGTATGGTGGCTGACAAGATCCTATGCACAGTACAATGAAAAACTTGTGCAAACTCATAAGCATGATGCAAATTCAGAATACATTTTATCAAAATGACTAAACATTACATTTCACAAATGCACTGCACATACAGAAAGCACATGCAACAACTATCCTAGCCTTGTCTGTTAATGCTCCCTAAATCTATTATTAATTTGATTTGGATGTGATGATAATATACAATCTGATTCTTTAAAAGTGCATCACAAATGGTCCATTCTGCTGCAACTGTACTGTCAAGTCAAGTCAAGTCAAATTTATTTATATAGCGCCTTTTACAACAGATGTTGTCACAAAGCTGCTTTACAAAGAATCCGGGTCCAAGCCCCCAGTGAGCAAGCCTTGGTGACAGTGGCAAGGAAAAACTCCCTCAACAGGAGGAAGAAACCTTGAGAGGAACCAGACTCAAAAGCGGAAACCCATCCTCCTCTGGTCGACACCGGATAAGAGGACAGACACAAAACAGCACTGCTAGTATTTGCTGCTACCTTCCAGGAACTTTTGAGAGGCTCCATGATTCACCATTGGAGGAAAAAACGGTCCGTCGGAAGGAATGGAGATGATGTGACCCTCTTTCCACGTGGTTCTGGTTGAAATGTCCTACCGTAGTGCATATTTATAGATAGTTCCCTACATAAAAATCTAGGTAGGATATTTTGATAGCCTAACCCCTTAACATTCCAGGTTTATTTAATACAAAGGCTTATTGTTCAGTAACTACAGGGACTTCAATGTAAGCTATTCATAAGCTATAGAAGTGTGTAATAAAACTTGCTTGTATTGGTATCGATGTTGGTTTTGATAAAATCCTAACGATACCCATCCTTACTGCTCAGTCGCTGGTACTGATAGCGTGACTGATATGGAATGATTGTAATATATATCAAACTAAAGCAGTGACTGATGCTCATAGATCTATGAGTGTGTGGAACGCATGTATGAGATTAATGACTTGAGAAATTCAGATGCGGAACAACATTAGGCACAATAGGGCAAGCAGTTAGAACAGAAGTCATTTACATGTCAGTCATAAATTCACAGTAAAAGCCTGTTTAATTCTAATGGGTAAAGAGAGGCTGGGAAATGTTCATGTAAAAAGGAATCATGACTGTTTTTTGGCACAGAGAAACATGCAAAGGTAAATGGACCTCAGGTAAAAAAAATAAGATGAATGGAAAATGGAAAGCAGGAAAAATGGAGAACATGGGCCCTTTAACGTTTGAGGTTTGTTCACAGTACACATCAGACAGTGTCTGTGATCTGCTGGAGAGACAATTTCTGCAATTTTCTAGAGATGTCATTTGCTGAGTGGTGTCGTTATAACCAAGCGTTTTTGATCATTTTGATGCACCAGGTGCAATCCTAAAGGTTATGCATTATATTGGTTCATAATTCTCCATTATAATATTTCTGAGGCCTACACTGTAATAGAAATAAATGTACAATGTTTTGTGATATTGTGCAGCCCTACCATTTGTTTATGAGAACTTTTATTACTTCCACTGAATATTTATGAGCATTAAGTGTCAGTTAATCTTGTGTGAGGGCTCAGTGTTATTTTATCTTGTCCAGCTTTGTTTGCTAATCATTCATTTATATATGCATGTCCACCTTGATTTAGCTACAGTATACCTTGCAAATCCTGTTATTGCACAGGATGAGACACTGACAGCTTGTGTAAATGAGCCGCTGCAGGTGTTATTTTCTTGTGACTGCTATTGTAGATAACAGTATGACATCTTGGCTAATGGCACTCAGCTCTGTTTTCTCCTTTTTTCCTCTTTAGGATTCAGCACATCTTGTTTTCGTGATTGTCTTGATGCAGCACATGTCTTTTTTTGCCTCTTTTTTTCACAAGGGCACTCTTTAAGACACATAGTATTTGAGAAGTAAAAGGTGTGTTCAGAGGTGCGGGTTGACAGGCCAGGTTTTAAAGCATTAGCTATTCATGTATTCATGGCTGTTCTGGTGTATCATCTGCTGCAATCTAAAAGTGCAGCAAAAAAAACTCTAAAAGAAAAGAAAGCGCAGCAGCATGCTGTAATTTTCCCATCTTGACCCAACATTTCTTCTGCACAAGAGGAAGGACATTTGATACTTTTCTCATGTTGTATTTTTTTATACTCTCAATATTTAAAAAGAAATGATTGAATAAAAAATTGGTAATAGGGACACACGCCTCCATGAGCTCATTAATTCCAAGCCTTTTCAAGTATTCAACAGTGTGCTGAGAGGTGATAATTCGGATCTGTTATACATTAATTGCTTCCTTTCTGGGTATTTCTTTCCTTCCTTGTATTGCAGCTCTGTTTGTCTGGTTCAGTACGATTGCCCTTTTCCAGGGATAACAGCCCTATGTCTGTAGATTTTCAGCATCCTCTTCTGGCAATTCATTCACCGTGCTCTTGTGCCTCGGAGAGCCACTCTGAGAGCGCAAAGAGAATTTCTATTATTGTAAAGCACGCTGTCATGGCAAATCAGAGATGCTGTGGGTGATGGTGATCACTTGAAGGTTCTTCAGTCCATAATTGCAGTCATGAAGCATTAGGCAAACTGCTTGTCAGTGAGATCCTTTGCTGTGTTCATTGTTTAGCGTAAATAGCCATATCTGTACTGGTCATTAATAGGTCCGGGAATTCAGCTCCAGCATTTCTCAGTCTTAACACGCTTATAATAGACGCCAGTGGGCAGTTACTTCACCTTCAGTATTCTGTTCCTCTGCTAAGTTCAAGGAAACACATTAAACCTTTAAACTTTTCCTTAAATTCCTTAAATTTCCTTAAATTTTTCCAAATTCTCTCTTTATTCTGTGCGTGCTTTGATTTTGGAAGGCTGTGCTCTGAAGCTTTGGTAGGAGCGTTGAAAAGCTGTCTTGTTCCGGCTTCCCTTCGTGTGCGGATGGTTTCTGTTCTTTATTTATCCTCCTAGTGGCTTTTCTTTCCTTCAGGCACTAAGACAGCTCGTTTTCCTTTTTTGTATTAAACGCATTTCACACTTCAGAAAAGATGGGTTCTCCCTCTCTCATGTTCTCTCTCTCATTTTACTCACTCACACTTTTTCTCTCTCTCATTCTCTCTTTCACACTGTCTCTCTTTTTTCTCTCTTTCTCTCATGCTCCCTCTCTTTCTTTCCCATCTTGCTCTTTCTCTCTCTCTCTCTGTTTCCTGCTGTCTCTTGCTTGCTCTAGCTTTCTTTCTCTCTTATTCTCTTTCATGCTCTCTTGCTCTTTTCGCTTTCTTACTCTCACTCTTTCCTTCTCCCATTTTGCTCATGTCTCTCTCTCCCTTCCTCTCACATACTGGTCTTTCTCTCTATCCCTCACACTTCTTTTCTTTTGCTCTTCCTTTTTGATCACCTCTGCTTCTCTCTCTCTCTCTCTCTCTCTCTTTCTATTGCTCATTCTCTCTTTCTCTCACACTAACATATTCTTGCTCTTACTCTCCCTCTCATTTGGCTCTTTCTTGCCCTTCACCCCTCCGTCTCTTGTTCTCTCCCTCTCCCTTTATCTACCTCTCTCACTCTTTTTCTCACCTGTTTTGCTGTTTCAGTCTTATTCTCTTTCTCTCATGCTGTCTCTCATATAACATATCTTTCTTTCTCTCGCTTTCTTGCTCTCTCGCTCTTTCTCTCCTTTTCCTGCCTTGCATTCTCATTCTCACTCTGCCATTTTGCTTTCTCTCACTGTCTCTCCTTCACTCTTCCTCCCTCTTACTCACTCTCTCACTCTTTCTTACTCTCTCCCATCTTGCTGTCTTTCTCTCTCTTCCATCTCGCTCTCTTATTCTTTCCCCATCTGTCTTGCTCTCTCTCTCGCTCATTCTGTCTCTCTCACTTTTCCATCTTACTCCATCTCTTTTTCTCTCTTACTTTTTCATTCTGCTCTCTTTCTCTCTCACTCTTTATCCCTTCCACCCTGTTCCTGTCTTGCTCTCTTTCACACTTTCACTGTCTCTTTCCCACATTCTCTCTCTCCAAGCTGTACTGATCAGGTCCATTCCTTGCTAGATGACCCAGTATATTTGGTTTATATTTGAAAAGCCTTCATCTCCCAGCACTCACTCATTGCAGCTCCCCGGAGGTGCCTCTCCCCATGTTTCTGTTAGCATGTGCGCGTGTCCGCCCGTGTCTGTACAAGCTCCAGATAGCATGGAAGTGACAGGTTGGTGGACAGCATGAGGCAGAGAGTGGCCAAATGAGTGGAGAGTTTGATTGAGATGAGCAGGCCTGACGGAGGCCTGTCACACACACTCTTCCACACTGGCGTTCAGCAGGCCAGGCAGTGAACGTGCAGGATGCTGACACACTAAACACGGCAAAGAACACCCCACCCGACAGCTGTTTCCATCCGATTCTCCAGGGCCGTCTTCCAAGCTCCAGCAGAGTGTTTGATAATTCCAGTCATGCTCATCATTAGCCCATCACTCTGAAAGAGAATTCACCGAACATTAATGGCCTTTAATGTACTGCCTAATTCCACGCTTGACTCTCGGAACCGAGATGAGTGCAGCACAAAAGGCAATAATGCGGGAATAGATCAGTCAGAATGAACCCAGATGACATTTGCCTGATAATCCTGAAGATGAATTGAATGATCCTCTTGTCTGGTTCATCCTGCCTTATTGCTGTTTGCCTCACCGTGTGTTTTGGTCTGTGTGTGGGTTCTTGCAGAGGTTCTGGAGGGGAAGACTGCTATGCTGCTGGGGATGAGTCAGTGGAACTCCAATGACCTGGTTGAGCAGATTGAAACCTTAGGCCACATTGATCAGACACAAGGTAAGTGGCAGCAGTTGCTAGTGTGTAGAGTAGCCTAAATCCAAGTAAAAGTACGGTGACTTCAGTGAAATAGTGACTCATGCAGAAGTACAACTTGCCAGGTTCAAACAGCTACTTAAATACCAAGTAACTTATAAAACTTCAGTGGATCTACTTAATACATCCAACATCTATCAGCGCAGGAACTGAGATTTATGCACTATTCTTCTCTTTTTGATGCACCCTTGGTCTAAAATAATATGACAAACCTCAGAGGTGACCAATCACAATGTAGTACAGAAGTTCTCACCAACATAACATAATGAAATTAAACTCAAAGGAGTAATGAAATGTTAACCCTCTGAGGTGTAAGCCATTTTTTTCCTATTTTTGGTTTGCCTGGTCTCCATGTGTAATAATGCTTGTATAACCTCAACCCTGTAATGCACAACCAAGTTATATACATCAGAAAAAAGTGGGCTATCAGAATATCATGCTGCAGTAATGTCACACTAATATATAAATAGTTATATGACTATAAAGACAATAGAAAAACTAAAACAGAAATTGACTCTCACAGAAGTTTACTCAAATCACACAGAGAAAAATAATGAACAAGGTTTTCGGCTTCTGAAAATTGTTCTCCAAAGTCTTGGCAATCAGGGGAAGAAAATAAAAATTCTACTCAACACAAATCAAAAACTATTTACATGTTTTCAAGAGAAGTCCTTCTGTTTTACTTTACAACAAACAGTTGTGCAGTGCCTCTCCACATGCTCCACATTTGCACTGTTCTTTCAGGTGCTGCCCCAATAATGTCGACCAATATATATATGTGTATATATATATATATATATATATATATATATATATATATATATATATATATATATATATATATATATATGAGAATGGTTTCAATGTCATGTTATTCAGCTGCGCAGTGTGTTTGAGATCAGCTCTGCCACAAACACATGCCACACACACGGTTTGACAAGTCAGGAATATAGCTTCTGATTGCCAAAGTCAGGAACACACTTGAACTCATTAAACAATATAGCTTTGTACAGAATACACAAAATGATTGCAGAAATACTGTTCTTAAAGGTAATTAATGTTTGTTTCAACCATTAATTGTTTCTCACTCAATGTATTGTACTGTTACTGTCAATTTACTGTTACTCTGCGTGATTACTGTATAATTACTATGTAATTACTGTATAATTACAGTATAATTGTTCAGTAGTAGCTTTTTCCTTTGTATAGTGATTGTATCAAAAACAAAAGAATAGAACATTATGAACTGAATTATTTTAAAAGTGAAAGGAAAATTTAATACTTCTTTATTGTCTTGTCCCTACATACAGCATACTATACAACATACTAAATTTTGTATATGGGACTAAACCTGAAATAAAGTTTTAATTTGCGTTTTTTTTTATATTGTAGCCTACATTTGCCACCTGTTTGTGATAAAACTGGCCCAAGCACCTGGTTTTGTAACATGTTTGCTTGTACATCCTTAAGCAAAATGGAAAATACAAACTTCAGACAGCTTTACCTTTGAGCTGTCTTTGTGGATTTGTACATTCTCTGTGCCTATCTGGTATATTCTCGTAATGGCAAGTTATGAGTCACAAGCTGAAGTGAATGCAGACAGTCTACTGAGTGACCTGCAGCTGGAAGCTATTTTGGTCCATTTTGCATTGCTTTTGTGTATTAAAAGATGATTTACATAATAGGGCTGTTTTATTTGTTTGGCTGGTTCAGAGTCTCAGTGTGGGTGCTAGGACTGTATTGTGCTGGAGCGATCTTCCTTTTTGTGTCTTCTCCTTGCGGCGTCTCAGTGTTTCCTCAACAAAAGCATTGTTAGATAATGCTTTTTGGTGTTGATGCAGACAGAATGTGGAGCAGACCTCAAATACCTCAGAGGGAGTATTAACAACCTTTGCCCTGCACTGATTAGTCTACTAATGACTGATACAGACTTGTGAGACCTGGAAACTGGAGACAACAAAATAGTGAAAAGCAGAATATAATAAAAAAGGTTAAAAAGAAGAGCAGAGCTTAAGTGTGCCTGACTAATTTACTAAGTTGGTTTTGATGGCCATCATACACCCACAGACTAAAGGATTGTTAGCTTGAAACTATTAAAAGCTGCTCTGTGTTTCACCTCATGTATATTACTTGACCGTTTTTTAGTCTGTAATCGCAGCTGAATTACTGCAAATTGTCAGCAGCCCAGACTGAACATTGGTCTGAAAGGCCACTCGTAGATCACTGAAACAAGTAGAGAAATTCTGTTGAAAATGTAGATTCTAAGCTTTCAATCAATACCTCATTTGCGTTTATAAGTAGAAGTAAAGATATTTTGTTATGATTTAAATTTAATTTAAAAAATTGCCTTGTTTTGAGAAAATATAAAAAAAATCTTACATTTTTGCCTCATTTTATTGTTGCTTGCCATCAAAACAAAACGAAAAAGTTGTAGATTCAAATGGAAACTGAATGTATTTTTGCTCCAAACATGTGATGGACAGTTGGCTAAATTATTTATTTTAGCCGATCTGTGATGCAATTTAATGATGTAAGTAATATGATTTATGTAAGTACACTCACACTGTATTTGTATCCTGCTACACCTATATCAAAGCCGTAGTATGGTTATGCATTATGCTAAGTGTGCAGATTTTTCATTTAAGAATTTAAAGTGCCAGTTTGTGTTTCCTGTCTTTAAAAAAAGGCTGATATGCCAAAAGAGAATTGGCCTTAAATATGTAATTACCTTTAAATAGTAGGACAAAACAGACGAAATAACTCTTGACTTCTGATACTTGCTATTTGACTCAGCATGGTGTTGATACAATGTGAAGAAAAATGCATCCTACTCAAAAATCAATCAGAAGCTTTTCCCTCACGTCATTGGAATGATTAGTCATTCTGTCTGTATATTTTCTGTTTCTACAGAAAATATTAGTCACTCAATCTATAGACACCAGAACTACTTAAGAAAACCCATGCTATTATTCATCTGACCTTTTCTCACATGTTGTTTGTTGTTTCAGAACTGGACCGGGTGTGAGGTTGTTTCGGAACTGGAACACATGTAAAGATATTTTGGCAGTGGACTGAGTGTGAGGTTGTTTCAGAGCTGGACCGGGTGTGAAGTTGTTTTTGCTTTGGACTGGGTGTGAGGTTGTTTCAGCACTGGACTGAGTGTGAGGTTGTTTTGGCACTGGAACAGGCATGAGGTTGTTTTCTTTCTGGACTGGGTATGAGGTTGTTGCTGCTCACTGGGTGTGAGGTTGTTTCAGCACTGGACTGAGTGTGAGGTTGTTTTGGCACTGGAACAGGCATGAGGTTGTTTTCTTTCTGGACTGGGTATGAGGTTGTTGCTGCTCACTGGGTGTGAGGTTGTTTCAAAACTGGACCAACTGTGAAGTGGTTTCAGCACTGGACCGGGTGTAAGGATGTTTTAGCAGTGAACTGGGTGTAAAGATGTTTTGGCACTGGACTGTGTGTGAGGTTGTTTCAGCAGTGGTCTGTGTGTGAGGTTGTTCAGCACTGGACCGGGTATGAGAATGTTTTAGCACTGTACAGACTGTAAGTATGTTAAGCACCAGACTGGTTGTGAGATTGTTTTAGCACTGGACCAGACATGAGGATGGTATTGCACTAAAGTGAGTGTGAAGTTGTTTCAGCACTGGACCAGGTGTAAGAATGTTGAGAACTGGTCAAGGTGTGAGGATGTTTTAGCACTGGACCAAATGTAAGAATGTTTAACACTTGACTGGTTGTGAGATTGTTTCAGCACTGGACCGATATTTCCAGGATATTTTTGCACTAAAGTGAGTGTGAGGATGTTTTAGCACTGGACCGAGCGGGAGTTGCTGCAGGTCAGGCAGCCTTAAGCACATGTGACAGAGAATAACTAAGCTTTCAGTAAGCCAGGGGTCAAGCTGCTCCCTAAGGAGAGTCCCCTAACAGCATAGAATGTAAACTCATTCTCACTTAGTCTAAAAGGTTAGGGTGTATAGAAACTTATGGAATTATTGTTTTTGTGTAGATGGTCTGATTCAGTTTCTGCTTGTGCGTGTTTCTTCAGGCAGGCTGAACACTGTGACCTAGCCAAAATGAAATATGCACCTTTCCACAAAACAACATGAAAATACAAGGTTACAAGGTTTTACTGGGAGATGATACAAGTGTTGTGTCTCACACCAAATGCCTTTTATGGACTCTTTTAGTAGGGCTGTCAGCTAGGCTTAGAAGAGAAATTAAGTATTATCATTTATTCATTTTTTTAATTATTTGAACATTATTGCTGTCCAAAAGAAAATGTGTCTGTAAATGTGTAACTTTACAAGAAAAGACAAAATATTCTTACCCTTTAATGTGAGATAATGTACATGGATCATTTTGTTCGGTCCATCATTATGTTGAAAAATGGAAATCTTTTTTTTTGGGGGGGCAGTGGTGATATATTCATTCATTTCATTCATTCATCTTCTAACCCGCTTATCCTCCGGGGTTGTGGGGATGCTGGAGTGATAATATATTTGAATAATAAATACATTTCGTTAATAGTTTGTTATTATGCAAAGAAATGCAAGCTGAAACAGAGACTGTTTGCAACAGTGAAAATGCACACTCAGTGAGTTGTAGCAAAAAGCTTCTCTCTGATACAGGTAGCTGCAGTGTGCAGCGGTGCTTAGCTAACTTCACAATCTTTTATATATATCGTCATTAAGTGATTATTACTATATTACACTACAAGGATGGAATGGCTTGAGTCAGACCATTCATATACCTTATATATGAGAATGTAATTTAACTTGTTACCATTTTTTAACTTGTTAACTTTAAATTTGTTCAGAATGGCTGCTGAAAAGCTGTTGGCCCCAAAGAGTATTTGGACATTTGTGGCAACTTAAGTTTATTGTGTTAGGAAACAAAAAAATCTAACCAAGTATTTATTTTAAACACACTTTTCCAAGACTAACATTCTTTCTGACAAAGTA